CCCTCGAGCGAGGAGGGTCCACTGGACAACTCTTGCACGCGACAGGGACGAATGGAGACGTTGCTGGCGCCCGCTCGAGCAATTCGATGATCAACGGGACGACAGGTGATACAGGTGATACTCTATCAACGCTTGCCATTAATTGCTGAATGAAAGGTTCACGAGCAGTGCAAATACATTGCAGGTTTATGCAATGTATTTGCACTTGCCACATCTACTCGTTCACGAGACCATTGCCCATTGCACAGCAGTCTGCCTTCGCGGCTGCATTCGCAGCTGTTTTGCGTCTTTGACAAGCGCATCCCCTGATCTCTCTCGCCGCAGCTCTCCCTCTGAACCGCGAAAACCCTACTGAGGCTCATTCTGTCGTCCTTGTGCACCATTATCATCTCTCCAAGGTATGGTCGTCCCGTCGTAACTTGACATTCGTGCTTCGCGGACACGTTTCATTCTGCGTAGGTTTGCGCTGCGGAGACCGGCTCGATAATGGGTGAATCTGTTATTCTCAGAATACATTGCTCGAGGGTTGTGTGAGCAACAGTCAAGGTCCGGACATCATGTACTGCTGGTCCACGTCTTCGCCGTGTAACAGAACGCGGGCAGAACTGAGGGGATATTGAAAAACATTAGGAACATATTATTAGACAATTAAAAAGTTTTAGGCGCTTTTCGCTCACACTTCTTGAAAAAATACGTGAGGCAGCTGCAGATACCTATCAGGGAACAATCCAATAATTCCATTAGCACTCAGAATATTACTTCTCTTCCTCCTCTGCTTGCAGGTCAAGCAGCTGAGAAACAAACATCGACTACTGCAGCTGAAACAAACATCTCCACGGTTTCCACAACCACTTTGGCGACACTGGCGACAAGCACCGCGACGTCAGCACCGATATCGACATCTACAGTCCCTATAGATACCTCCACAGCGACGACCACCTTTCCTGAATGGACAACGTCGACCACCACTCCCGAACCGACAACGTCGACCACCACTCCCGAACCGACAACGTCGACCACCACTCCCGAACCGACAACGTCGACCACCACTCCCGAACCGACAACGTCGACCACCACTCCCGAACCGACAACGTCGACCACCACTCCCGAACCGACAACGTCGACCACCACTCCCGAACCGACAACGTCGACCACCACTCCCGAACCGACAACGTCGACCACCACTCCCGAAACAACAACGTCGACCACCACTCCCGAACCGACAACGTCGACCACCTACTCCCGAAGGCGACATACGTGACCACTATCTCCTGAGGGGGATGGGGGGGGGGGTGGGGGGGACAACGTCGACCACCACCCCTGAACGACAACATCGACCACCACTCCCGAACTGACAACGTCGACCACCACTCCCGAAGCGACAACGTCGACCACCACTCCCGAACCGACAACATCGACCACCAACCGACCCGAACCGACAACATCGACCACCACTCCCGAACCGACAACGTCGACCACTACTCCCGAACCGACAACGTCGACCACCACTCCCGAACCGACAACGTCGACCACCACTCCCGAACCGACAACGTCGACCACCACCCCCGAACCGACAACATCGACCACCACTCCCGAACCGACAACGTCGACCACCACTCCCGAACCGACAACGTCGACCACCACTCCCGAACCGACAACGTCGACCACCACTCCCGAACCGACAACGTCGACCCACCACCCTGAACGACAACATCGACCACCACTCCCGAACTGACAACGTCGACCACCACCCCTGAAACGACAACATCGACCACCACTCCCGAACTGACAACGTCGACCACCACTCCCGAACCGACAACGTCGACCACCACCCCTGAAACGACAACATCGACCACCACTCCCGAACTGACAACGTCGACCACCACCCCTGAAACGACAACATCGACCACCACTCCCGAACTGACAACGTCGACCACCACCCCTGAAACGACAACATCGACCACCACTCCCGAACTGACAACGTCGACCACCACTCCCGAACCGACAACATCGACCACCACTCCCGAACCGACAACGTCGACCACCACTCCTGAAACGACAACATCGACCACCACTCCCGAACTGACAACGTCGACCACCACTCCCGAAACGACAACGTCGACCACCACTCCCGAACTGACAACGTCGACCACCACTCCCGAACTGACAACGTCGACCACCACTCCCGAACCGACAACGTCGACCACCACTCCCGAACCGACAACGTCGACCACCACTCCCGAACCGACAACGTCGACCACCACTCCCGAACCGACAACGTCGACCACCACTCCTGAAACGACAACGTCGACCACCACTCCCTGAAACGACAACATCGACCACCACTCCCGAACTGACAACGTCGACCACCACTCCCTGAAACGACAACATCGACCACCACTCCCGAACCGACAACGTCGACCACCACTCCCGAACCGACAACGTCGACCACCACTCCCGAACCGACAACGTCGACCACCACTCCCGAACGACAACGTCGACCACCACTCCCGAACCGACAACGTCGACCACCACTCCCGAACCGACAACGTCGACCACCACTCCCGAACCGACAACGTCGACCACCACTCCCGAACCGACAACGTCGACCACCACTCCCGAACCGACAACGTCGACCACCACTCCCGAACCGACAACGTCGACCACCACTCCCGAACCGACAACGTCGACCACCACTCCCGAACTGACAACGTCGACCACCACTCCCGAACCGACAACGTCGACCACCACTCCTGAAACGACAACGTCGACCACCACTCCCGAACAACGTCCTACCAACAACAGAAAGATGCAACCCACTCAAGGACCACGTTTAAAAAACATAATCTGACAAAATGCGCATCTCTCTGGCCGCTCTGTAAATACAACACATATGTATTTACTCCACTATGGAGCTTACACGTGAGCAAAAAAAGATTGCTTATGCTTCACGAGTGCAAGTTGAGCTCGGAACCGAAAGGTTCTGCATATGCACGTAGAAGCAATGAAGCCTGGGAAGAAGGTACGTTCGCAGAGAGAACTGTTCGGGAGCGTTTGCTGATGGCTAATTTGTTGTGGTTTTGTTTGGTTCTGTTAATAAACATTTGAGTGCAATGGAAACGGTGGAAAATTGCTCAACCTAATATTTTTCTAGTGTACTGCCCGATCAAAACTCGTATTTTAATCTCAAAACAAAAGTGGTTGTTGCAGTAACCCCAGGGAAGAGCCTAACCTGTCTTTTTGTGGGGGACATGTACAATTTCGAGAAAAATCAACCGGCATATGAGCAGGTGAGCCGCCACAGATTTTAATATGTACATGTTTCTATTCATCTCATTCCTTTTATTTAAAAGGTTGCCGCAAAATTCCGAGAGAATGCAATGAGAGCAACATGTCACAGGAAGCATGTTTTTTCAACTTCACTGAGTTTTTCATGTGTGCAAAAAAAACCTTCTCTTTCCACAGAAAAACAATGCCTGCATGATGTATTTAGAAAGCCCTGAAGTTTGAGATAAATGGATAGAAGCCAAAACGCCAAAACGTACAACTTTTTCGACGGTGTTCCGTTTGCTGGTGTTGAAAGAATCGAGGCACCGAGATTCTCGTGGTGCTCTACGCTGTTGCCTCCCTTCATCACTAATAGCGGCGTTTAAGTGTAAATTTAATCCCATACAACGATTTCGGGGCAGTTTGTGTTCTATCCACTGCCTCATCAATCTTGTATCAATCATCTTTGTATTTTTCTACCAAAATATTTGGTTGCGACACAATA